TTTCTTTCATCTCAATATTCCTTCAAAAAAAAAAAAAAAAAGCATGTTTCTTAGCGGTGCGGTCAAGCTATGTTGGCACTTTGCACCGACCTTCGAAATGTGGACCTCAAAAATGAACAGTACTCCTTCGTAGAAAATATTGGGTTAAAGTACCATTTTGGTCCCTCAACTTTTCAATTTAGCACCAAAATATCCTTCAATTTTAAAAAGTACCAAAATTATCCTTAAACTTTCATTTTCGGTAAAAATGGTCTTTCCGTCAGTTAAATGCACACGTGGCACGTTAAGATGCCACAAAATCATTGGTTTTTTAAAATTTTGATGACATGTATATCCAACAAAGAAAATATTGTCACCTGTGACATTTTTTTACACGTCAGATGGTCATCTTCTCAGTTTCTCTTTTTAGTGGGGCCCACATAAAAATTTTGTTCTCTTTTTCTAGTTTCAATCAAGTTCCCCAAAAATAGTTTTCTTCGTTTCTCTTGTCATTTCCTTTTCAGATTCAAAACCCTAAACCTATTACTTCTGCAAAATTAAAATCAAATATTACCCCAAACCCACACTCACTCTCGAGCCTCTTCAGTGAATTTAGCTCAACAACTCAATACCCCTCTGTTCTGTTCTGTTCTGTTCTGTTCAGGTTTTTCCCTCTTTGCTTCGAGTCCGTTTTCCATTTTTTACCCTGAGAATCGATTCCATGGCTATCGCGCTGGCTACAACTGCGACCACACAGCCGAACTTCTATTTCGACAAGAAGTGGAAGCTGTCGAAGAAGGAAGGTTCGTCTCGGAGTCGATCTTCAAATTCGCCGCTCATGAAGAATTCGTCGCAGCAGCGGTATTCTTTCACCAGAAAATGCACGCTATTGGTTAAAGAACAAAGAGCTCGATTCTACATCATGCGCCGCTGCATCTCCATGCTCATCTACTGGCGCAACTACAGCGATTCTTGAATCAAGAGAAGAGGAATCAAAAAGTTAGATCTAAGAGAGTAAAAAGCCTTTCTCCTCTCTCTCTCTCTTTCTTTCGAGAATCAATGGGTTCGACAGGCGTGCGGTGGTTCAGCAAGCTTGAGAAAACCCAAATCTAGGTTTGAAACCAAGATCTGGAGAGGAAGAAGAGAGAGAGAGAGAGAGAGAGAGAGAGAAAGAATAAGAATCAATGGGTGAGGTAGGCGTGCGGTGGTTCAGCAAGCTTGAGAAAACCCAGATCTGGGTTTGAAACCCAATCTGGAGAGGAAGAAGGGAGAAGAGAGAGAGAGAGAAAGAATAAGAAGAAGAAAAAAGAAGGATTTTGAATTTGAAAAGGAAATGAAAAGAGAAACGAAGATAACTGTAATTTTTGGGGAACTTGATTGAAACTGGAAAAAGAGAAACAAAATTTTTATGTGGGTCCCACTAAAAAGAGAAGCTGAGAAGATAACAATCTGACGTGTAAAAAAATACCATGGGTGACAATATTTTCTTTGTTGGATATACATGTCATCAAAATTTTAAAAAGCCAATGATTTTGTGGCATTTTAACGTGCCACATGTGCATTTAACTGACGGAAGTATCATTTTGTATCGAAAATGAAAGTTTAAGGATAATTTTGGTACTTTTTAAAATTGAAAGACATTTTTGACACTAAAATGAAAAGTTGAGGGACCAAAATGGTACTTTAACCAAAATATTGCGGCCTAAAAAAGTACAAAGGTGGGAAAAAAAAAAAAAAAAAAAAAAAAGGCCGTGTCAAAACTCAAAACCCTCTAAAATATGAAAATATCTTATCTACAGAAAAGTAAAAAGATTTTTTAGGATATACTATCAATTATCATGAATAAAGATTTGGGAGCAGTGATGAAGAGCGGAGCATATAAGTCGGGGATGGCTCAGAAACAATCTAAAACTCTTTTGTGTTTGTTGGCAAACGAACACAACCATCCAAATCCAAAGTCAAACTAACAATCTCTCGCGTTCATTCTTCTTCCATTTCCATTTTTTTCTCCAACTCCTGCGGTTCTCCTGCATTTTTCTTGCCGTCCCCAACATTCTCTTCCTTCCATTTCTTCAAAAGTTTCTGTTTTTTTCACTACCCACATTAGGGTTGATGTTTAGATTGGGAAGACTAGATACAAATGCTGTTTTTTCTGACATAAGGTGTCATATTTGTTGATGCTGCAAAATGGGTAAGTAAATTACAAGGCAATTATCATCATCATCAGAACAGAAAGCAATCAGAGTGAATTTAGAGGTGTTGAGGAAGGTGCGGTTTGTGGCATTTGTGTTAAGTTGTGTTTGTTTTTGGGTTTTCGGTGATGGAAGGGTTGGATGTGTTGATAGAGAGGTTATTGGAAGGGAAGAATAACAGAGGGAAGAGGATTCAGCTGAATGAGTCAGAAATTAGACAGCTTTGCAGCACTGCCAAGCGAGTCTTCATGAGCCAGCCTATTCTCCTTGAATTAGAAGCTCCCATCAACATCTGTGGTATTCCCTTTTCTTCCCCTCATCTTTTATCAGATTGTTGTCCTTCACCTGCATAATGCAATTGATCTCCTTATAATGGGTTTCAAGATTTGGAAATTTTATGTCCTGAATGAAATTGGTTAGATTTAAAATGCCTGTATTATTCAATAAGCATTCGATGATACATAATGGCAAGTTCTACAATTTCTTTTTTAACGCAAGAAATGAAGGCAGGTAAGATGATGCCTGATCTTCTATGTTTCATTTGAATCTCAAACCTTGTCTCCTTGAATAGCTAATCCCAATGTTATTCAAAAATTTCATACCTTTTTTACAAATCGTTTGTGAAGCTTGTGAGTGTTTTATACGAAATTTTTAGTAGGTCGGTCCATTTCAATGAGATGGTGAAAAATCTGGTGTAAGCTAATTGGTTATGCTAGAAGGATCATGGTTCATGGGATCTCCGTAAGATATTGAGAAAATTTTGCCTAGATAGATTCTGTGAACAATTTTGCCTATCTCTCTTTTTTTATCTTCCCTCTTCCTTTTTTGTGAATAAGGTGAGGTTGTAGGGTTGGGAACTAGAAGAGTTTGTGAATTTAATTGTTAATAGATAAAAAAAAATTTAGGGGATGTTTTTTTAACAATATAATCCCTGCATTCCATCATCAGTCTATGCTCCTCTTTGTAGGCAAAGGAAAATTATAGACATGCAAAGTGTTGATCTGATATCAACATTTTTATCTTACTCAATTGTTAGCTGCATCATTTCTGTGTTTACAGGCGATATACATGGCCAATATCCAGACCTTTTGCGCTTGTTCGAGTATGGGAAATTCCCACCAAATGCCAATTACCTTTTTCTTGGAGATTATGTGGACAGAGGAAAGCAAAGCATAGAGACTATATGCCTGCTCCTTGCTTACAAGATCAAGTTCCCAGATAAAATTTTCCTTCTCCGGGGGAACCACGAATGTGCTTCTATCAACAGAATCTATGGATTCTATGATGAGTGCAAGCGCCGTTTTAGTGTCCGTCTATGGAAGATATTCACTGATTGCTTCAACTGCTTGCCAGTGGCTGCAGTGGTTGATGGCAAAATACTCTGCATGCATGGTGGGCTTTCACCAGAAATGCAGAGCTTGGATCAGATAAGAGGTATAGAAAGGCCAACAGATGTTCCAGACCAAGGCCTAATTTGTGACCTTCTTTGGGCTGATCCAGACAAAGACATCAAAGGGTGGGGTGAGAATGATAGGGGTGTCTCTTTTACCTTTGGCGCAGACAAGGTAGCTGAGTTCTTGAAGAAACATGACCTTGATCTCATTTGTCGTGCTCATCAGGTCTTTCTCATCTTCTCTTTTTCCTCTGTTTATAGATGACATTTATTGCTTCCTTTTCTATTCGGATGCTGTATTTTCTCCTTATGGCAAAGTTTTAAGATCCCATGCTTTTGATTACTGTGAAAGATTTAATTAGGAAGAATAAAAGGGCATAATCTGATCTCTCTGCTGAAAATGTTTGTTAGGTTGTTGAAGATGGTTATGAATTCTTCGCTGAAAGGCAGCTGGTCACTATATTCTCTGCACCAAACTATTGTGGAGAGTTCAACAATGCAGGGGCACTGATGAGCGTGGATGCAACTTTGCTCTGCTCATTCCAGATTCTGAAGCCCGGGAGAGGAAAACTTGGACTGATGGAGTAGTTTCAAAACCAAGAACCATTTGTTTTTCTATTCTATTGTTGTGTGCCCCTTTCGGTGTAAAACTTTAGATTAAAATCTTTTATTCTCTTCAGTGATAGATTGATTAATCTGAAGCATCAGAAAGATGTGTATATATACCATAACTTACTGGTGCATTTGCTTTGTAAATTGAAATTTTTGAAAAATCAAAAACAAATATGGGATTCTAGAGGCACCCTGTAAAAGCACAACATGTTACTATCTTTGCTATGATCGACTCACCATCTTTGAGAAAAGGAATGCCATGTATCATTTACGGTACATCTTTCTGCAACGGTAGATCAGTTGATTTCTGAAAACAGAATGTTTTACAGAGCCAATGGTAGGTACCAACCATTTCACACTCTAGGCTTTGCAATTTGCAAACAAGCAGGCAGAAGAAACACACTAGTGCTAGTATACAGATTAGATTAGCACCTTGGTGCTCATCTGAATTCTGAACCAAAGTGCCTCTATTCCTAAAATACAAATGATAAATCTAAAAATGCTAAAACCAGTCTAAGAATAATTGAATAATGTGAGCAGTTTGGTGATACACTAAACATATCTAATCAGCCGGAAAAGCAAGCTTAATCAAATTGAACAGCTTGACTTTCAGTTAGACCACACGTGAACCAATCCCTGTTTGTTTCCAGTGTAGATCTCATTGCGGTCTTCATCATAGAAAAGAGCAGTTATGTCTTCCAAAGCTTCTGCAACTGTGCTTGTCATGTGGGAAATCTTACTGCTGCTGCAACGACCAGCTTTAGGATCATCATTTGACGCACTTATTTTGGCCAGGCATTTCCCAGTCAAGATGTTGCTTATATGGATAGACCCAGCTGCATCAAAAAGAAAATGACTAATGAATCACCATACCAAAAAACCTTGTGCTTGATGGGTTATGAAAAGGAGTCAAACAAACAAAATTATGGATTCAGCTTATCAAAAGCTGATTGCAAGAATGTCCTATATAAAAAAGTAGTTCATAAAAATGGTTATGCAAAAATCACTGATTAGCAAGTAGGACTCAGATTTGGTGACAATCTGCTATTGGATAGCTCTTATTGTCAAAAGAAAGAAGAAAAAATTACCATTGCCTTCCATGCAATGATCTTCAGATTCAGCCTTGCAGTAAGAAATAATAAGATCCTGATCACTTGTTATGTAAATGTTGTTTGTGTTACAGTCTGGGTGCCATAAAAGGTGATCCTCAAATGAAGTTACAAGCTCCCCACGAAAATTCCAGACAGCAACATTCCGGTTTCTAAATGTCAGAAACAACTGGTTCTCATACAAAAAGATAAATGCTGATGGAGTCTTGAATGCGTCTTTACTAACTTCCATAATCTCGGCATTCCGAACCTACAAAGAATACAAGATACCATTAGTGGCATGTAAAATAATCTTTTTCCTGCAAGTTAGAACTTAGAAGAATAAATCAAGGCCGCAACTGAGAAGTTGAAGAAAGGAAAAATAATAATAATAATAATAATAATAATAAGAGGAAAAACAAACACCACTCACATCAAGAATTTGGAGATTCTCATGCTCTTGCTTAACAAGAAGCTTCTCGTTGAATTGTTCAATAAAGTCAACCTTCTTATTTCGATGAAGTAGATGCTTGAAAGTTTTAAGAACTTTACCATCTTCTATTGAAAGAATTTTAAGAGGAACATGACTGCTCTCTCTTTCGAAAATCAATAACATGATACCGGGACTGTAGAAGAAGACAAACCAGAAAGCACATAAGAAATTTTCAAAGAAGATAGGCACATTATTTAGGTTTCACAACTCATGAGATAATTCTGCACCAGTCTGGCAAGCACATAGAGACAGAAACTGGGCGCAAAACAGAGGGAGGAAGGGATCTTACCTGATCTTGATTTCATTTACGCGTCTATCTGATATAGAGTACAGCATGTTATAGTTTTTCAGATCAAACACTTTGTATATGCTGCCAGTAAACACCACACTTAGAACACGGCATAGAATATCACAAATTAGAGCACTGAAGGCGATAGAGTTACCTATCTTGGGCTGAGTATGTCAGCACCTTTCCATTAACATCATCAAACTCTACAAAGCCGGGCCACTTTAAAGTCTCTGACTCAAAAAGAGGAAAACCTGCATCTGGCTTTCCTCTACGTATGTATCTAATCATGTAACATAAGAAATTAAATCAATTATGAGATAATGGCATGTAAGGTGATATATAGGGGTACTGGTAAGGCAAAGAACCTATAAGATAAAATGACACGCACTCAATCTTTGTGGATCTACATTTCAATGAGCTGAAGTTTTCTGAGCCATATACTGAAACCGTTATAAGTGAATCATTGTTCTTGTTATAGAAAAGACTCCGAATCACTTCATCAGGACTGACATTTAGAAAACATATCCTCTTGTTTGTCTCTGCATTTACAATAAACATGTTATTTCCTTTCATTTGGAAATGAAATATTGATATGGCTAACTTAAGAGTGCTTGATGTTTGACATTTGACTATGCTGTCAGAACAAGGATTGTCACCTACCTCTGCAAAAAGCAGCACATACACCTGAATGCGTAAGAGCAAAAACAATGTTACATGCAGCAACTATCTCCATTACTTTCGTTCTCTTTGTCAAAAAGTGTAGTGCTTCTGGAGCATGGCCCTTTGGATCATGAGTATCATATTCCATCTGCAAACAAGCAAGCAGATCAAATAATATCTTAGAAGGAGCAGCAAAACATGCCATACAACTAAACAAGAATTAACCCAAGATCATGCAACGAATTACAGTAATGCCAATTGAACTCCTCCTGTAGTTTAGTTTAAGAAATCAAGCTACAGGGAAGATAACTTTGTGCGGAAATAAGTCTATCACATACTGAACTCCACTTCACTGAATAGAGCACAACATAACTTTCTGCAACTCCATAAATCCCTAATCCTTAAAATTAACTAGTGTCAACCATATCAATCCTTTTCCTTTATTACATGGTTCAATCAAGCTCTTGAATGACACCTGAAATCTAAAACTTCCAATACAAATTAACCTAATTCCATAAGGAATTACCAAACAAGTCAATTTGAAAAGAAAGAAATTGCAGATCCAATCTGACCCTAATACCGTCGGAGAAAGCCAAACCCTAGCAACGTAAATGAGCTGCTCCCACCCATACAATACTGAAATTTAAGCTAACAAAAACACAAGAAAAAAAAAATTTCAAAAATCGAAGGAAGACGGAATTGAAGATAGATACCACCAAACGCATGTTGCGGAACTTGTCGTGGCCATTGGAGACGGAATAAGAAGGACGCGGTTTGGAAGAAATCTCTCGACGGAGAAGCTTGCTGAAGGTGTTGACATGAAAATCATCGGGGCGAGGCCTCTTCTTAGCCATAACTCTACGACCACTGCACGGCCTAGGGCTAGCCAATATCTGCTTTCCTTCCATACCAGCCCTTTCTTCCCTACGATCTCCTGAAAGCTAACTTTCCACAGCGAATTCAGTGCCGGAGATCAGAGAGATCGAAAACCAAACCCTAAGAAAAAAATTTCCTCAAACCCTCTCCAGTGTCCACCGCCGGAGCAGAGAAGCACAGGAAGCAAGTTTTCATTCAAATTTTTATGAGGCTTTTTGGGTCCAAGGAGGAAAAGGAAGGAAAGAAATTGCAAACTAGTTAAATAAGCCGAAGAGGCGAAGAGGCCCAAATGCCCAAGACTATTACAAGATTTTAATTTATTTTTGAAATAAAAAAGCTTTTGATTTTTGTTTTATGCCGCCAATTCTTCTTCTTCTTTTTTTTAATGGGTCTCATGCGTCCGTCTAATTACTTTTCTTCTATTATTATAGTTTTTAGAGGGTTTATATCCGATCTACTTCAATTAATTTGATTTAAATTAACTTAATTTAATAAAAAATCAATCCAGATCGATATAAAATTAAATTAGTTTGAATTATAAAATTTTAAAATCGATATAATTGGTTTAGTTTATAGTTTTACTTTAAAATCGTCTGAATTGTCCTATTAGAAAATAACTTAATTAAATAATATAATATATTTTTTGTAGTATTTAAAATTTTTTTTTCTTATTTTACAAGATAATAACTCCATTAACTTAATTAAAAATAAAAATAAAACATATTCATATTTCTTAAGTTATTTTTTCATTTTAATCATGCACTCTAATTTTAATTCTAAATTTCTAATTCACATGTAACTCTATCCACTCAGAACTGTTTTTACACCTTTACTCTTAGAACCCTAAATTTTTAATTTATTATTAAAATAATCTTATAATTCTCTTAATTGAGTTTTAAATAAGTATCATTATAAAAGTCTTAAAACTATATAATAAAATTAGTCTTGATATTCTACTATTTTTGGATATTTAGTTTAAGAGTTTTAAATTTTGATTATGAATGCTTCTAATCAATTTTAGTGATATTCATGTTAAATTTTATTCATGTTAAATTTTATTCATTTTTAACAGGATTTAGAAGATGAGATTAAATTATTAATGCATTAAGAAAAAAACTAATTTTAATTTTTAAGAATTACTTACGCTGTGCTAAAAATTTAAAGTCATTTTTTATTGTTCTTGGTGTTTCTAGTGATGTAACCAAGAAGAATTTTCAGATCTTTTTAATTTTTATAAATGTAAAGGAATGTAAGAACTCGTTTATAATTTGTATTTTTTATTATATTTTTACTGATTTGCATGCTAATGTGTTTTATGGTTATACTTTCTATTCAATGTTAAAATATTTTTACATTATCTTATATATTTAATAATGTTAAAAATCGAACAATCCAACTGAATTACACTAATCCGATTTAAGTTGAATTGGTTTGATTATATACTAATGGATTGAATTGATTTAAAAATTTTATTAATCGATTAAATTAGATTAGTTTAAAAAATATTACACCTTAGTAGTTTTCAATTTATCTCTTATAATTCTTAAATTACCTTAAAAAGAGAAGCTATTTTTCCTCTTTTTTTTTTTTTTTTTGAGTACAATGAGCTGTGCTGGGCACTGAATTAGCACTTGGAATGAGGCCTAAATATGCCCAGCAGATTCATCTCTAGAAGGCTGTGAATCCCATCCAGTATAAGAATGTGTTTGGGATTGTAGTTGGTTTTTTTTTTT